GCTGGCTTTGAACCTCGATCCTCAGATTTTAGCCTCCTGAGTAGCTAGGATTACAGGTGTGAGCCACTGGCGCCCAGCGGGGGCGGGGGGGGGGGAGAGAATATATTTTAAATGAGTGTCATTATCTGAGAATAAGAATAGCTGCTGAAATAATTTCATTTTACATGAGACACATTCAAGGTTCTTTGTGTGTGTGTTGGTCCTGGGGGCTTGAACTCAAGGCCTGGGTGCTGTTCCTAAGTTTTTGTGCTCAACAGTAACATTCTACCACTTGAGACACAGCTCTACTTCTGTTGTTCTAGTGTTTACTTGGAGATAAGTGTCTTACAGATATTTCTGCCTGGTATGTCTTTTATGAACCAAAATCCTCAGGTCTCAGCCTCCTGTGTAGCTAGGATTACAGGTAGGAACCACCAACTCTGGCCATTCAGGGCTAAAAAAAAAAAAGAAAAGAAAAGAAGTCGGGGCTGGGAAGGTGGCTCAGTGGTAGAGTGCTTGCCTCCCATGTATGAGGCCCTGGGTTCGATTCCTCAGCACCACATAAGCAGAAAAAAGTCAGAAGCGGCACTGTGGCTCAAGTGGTAGGGCACTAGTCTTGAGCTGAAGAGCTGAGAGACAGTGCCCAGGTCCAGAGTTCAGCCCCCACGTCTGACAAAAAAAAAAGTCTTAGCTGTGAACTGGTGGTTCATACCTGTAATCTTAGCTACTCAGGAGGCTGAGTCTAAGGATTGGGGTTTGAAGTCACCCGTGATACTCTTATTCCAACTAACCAGCAAAAAGCTGAAAGTGGAGATGTAGCTCAAGTTGTAAAGCACTAACCTTGAGCAAAAAACCTCAGGGACAGTGGCCAGACCCTGATTTCAAGCCCCAGCTTTGGCACAAAAAAAAAAAAAAAGTGGAAAAAAATGGAACTGTCAAGACCGAATACATTGTGTAAAAACACTGCCTGTCCTCAGTGGGAGTCAGCAGACACCTTCTATCTGTCCAAAAGATCAAATAAACAAGTACCTGGATCTTGCATAGTACTCTCCCTGTGAAATAGTTGCACCAATAATCATAGAGTTGGCTACCTGGGTTTTCTCAGTTTCTTCTTTTTGTTGGTGGTGGTCATGGGCCTTGAACTCAGGACCAAGGAGCTGTCTCTCAAATCTAGTGCTCCACCACTTTAAGCCACAGCCCTACCTCTGGTTTTCTGGTGATGAACTGGAGACAGAAGTCTCAAGGAGGGCTGGGAAGCTGGCTCAGTGGTAGAGTACTTGCTTCCCATGCATGAGATGAGGCCCTGGGTTCGATTCCTCAGCACTATAAGCAG